GAGAGAGAGAGAGAGAGAGAGAGAGAGAGAGAGAGAGAGAGAGAGAGAGAGTCGAGGTGTGGAAGGAAGCCATGGAGAAGATAAGAGAAAGAGAGGCTTCTGAGGATATAAAGTGCGTTGGCGAAGAAAAAAAACCCCAACGAAAAACAAAACAGCAAACAACCCAACAGCCGACGCTTATGATATCTTATGAACTTTCGACTTCAGTCAGCGTTTGACTGTTGATGAAGTTATTGCACTGTGGACCCCTTTCAAAGGTCTGATCCTGACCTCCCATTAAATCTGCGAGAACATCAGGGTTCTCTAGGTCAACGCCACTTGGCGAAATACCGGAAAGAAAACATTGTCTGTCTGTCTGTCTGTCTGTCTGTCTGTCTGTCTGTCTGTCTGTCTGTCTGTCTGTCTGTCTGTCTGTCTGTCAGCCTGGCTGCCTGCCTGTCTGTCTGCTCACGCACACAACCAGAACAAACAGCCACCCAGAGAGGTCTGGGTACGGGTAAGCATAATTAAATGTATATGATGAACGTGTTGAATAGAAAAAAACATACATTTTTTGGTTTTGTTTTGTATTCGTGTACATTGAAATCAATCAATAAAAAAACAACTCCAAAGACTTATAAAAGAGATGGGGAAAAATGAGCCGGGAGAGAGAGAGAGAGAGAAAGAGAGAGAGAGAGAGAGAGAGAGAGAGAGAGAGAGAGAGAGAGAGAGAGAGAATTGTATGACTCTACAATTTCAATCGTTCCCTGTCGAAAATTCTCGTCATACTTTCATGCGCTTTAAACTTTACAACAACAACAACAAAAAAGACCCAAAAAAAACAAAGAAAACCAAGACAAAAAATAATAAGCTACTGTTTCTTTGAGCACAGACCTGGGTAAGATTGAAGAATACCGGACCAGCGGACTGACTTTGCCTATGTCTCAACCTTACGAATTCATAATTTTCCCGTTTTTAAAATCTCTCAATGGAGAATCTCGGACCGGTAGTTCTATTCATTAAAATTTTGTCAGGGGGGGTCTCCCCCCTGAACCCCCCTCCCCCCTCCTCCATCCCAACCACCCACCCCACCTACCCCACTTTCTCGCGCAATAATGTACGAGTGGTCCGGTATTCTTCAATCTTCCCCAGACGTCCTGGCAAGCCATGTAGTAACAACATTTATGATAATATCTTCAATGCGATCACGACTTCGAAACCGTCGCTGCCGAATAGAAGATACAACCGAAAGCTGAATGGTAGTTTGTACTTTCAGTTTCCGGCATTTGGGAGTTTGTTTGTCACACGCTGTCAAGGCTGTTGAAAAAAAAAATCTCTTTAAGCGTAAATACCCCCCGAGTTCCGTAGAATTTCAGTTTCATTCTGAATCAACTCCCATTTTAACGACCGGGAGTCTGTGCTTTCTAAGTAATTTACGACAGACAGGAGGCAGAAAAAAAGAAAGAAAGAAATGGAGTGATAGTAGTAGCCTAGGCCTACCTGATAGCACCAGGTTCGCGATATTGTACGTTTGATCAACTGATGTCTTGACTCAATAATCTCAAGTCTTTATGTTAGGTAGTTATCTGTACTGGCGAAAGATTGGGAACATATAGTATGTTAAAAATTAGTTTGGAGTGTTTTGTCACTTCATTTAATCTACAGCAGTTTTGTTTTGCTGGGTTGTTTTTTTTTCGAAGTTTAGGTTAGATAAGTATTGGTCATGTCCCGTGTGAGCATGTGTGTGTGTGTGTGTGTGTGTGTGTGTGTGTG